ATCTCGCCCGACTCCGTGATTCGCAGGGAGTGGTTGAGCAGGTTGACGATGACCTGCTGTAGTCGCAGGGTGTCGGTCATCAGATGGCGAGGCACTGCGGGATCGAGTATATAGGCCAGGTCGATGTCCTTGGCGGCCGCCTGAGCCTCAACCGCGCTCAGGCAGGTCTCCACGCATTGATCGAGCACGCATAAATTGGCCTCCTGCAACCGTGTTCTCCATCAGTAACACGACACACGACACACGACACACGACACACGACACACGACACACGACACACGACACACGACACCACACACGACGTACAAAGTTGAGCTTCATGGCCTTGAGCTTGGACAAATCGAGCACGTCGTTGACTAGGGAGAGCAGGGTTTCGGACGAGTCCTGAATGTCGGTGATGCACTCCTGCTGCTGGCCGTTCATGTCGGTGTCGTCCATGAGCGACGCCATGCCGATGATGCCGTTGAGTGGCGTGCGCAGCTCGTGGCTCGCCACGGCCAGGAAACGCGTCCTTGACCTTGTCGATCTCCCGCAGCTGCGAGTTCTTGGCCCGGAGCTGCCGGTTGGCTTGTCGCAGCCTGTCGACCAGAAGCGCGTTCTCGAGCGTGTTCATGAGCTGGCCCGTGAGGAGCTTGACCAGCCGCAGCCGATCGTCGCTGAACACGCCCACCGCGCTTCCGTTCTCGAGATAGACCAGGCCGCGGTGCACGCCCTTGATCGACATGGGCAGGCACAGCACCGAACGCGGCTGGCGCCGCATGACGTAGTCGTCCGTCTCGAAGCGTCGGTCCACCAACACATCGTGCACTACCACCGCACCTTTGTTTACATCGACACACAACATACAAGCACATGTGTCAGTCAAGCACTCCCATTACTATATATATGCGAGAATGCAAAGAATGTTAAATTGATCATACTCTTGGTGCGCCAGCAGTAGTTGATCACTCGGTTGGGCAAATCAGAGTTCTCGCCGTTGTACACCACCTGGACCACCTTCACGCGCACATTTCCCTGCAGAGAGTGTACGACCAGCTCACTGGATCAGTCAGGGAGCACACAGGCGACAAAAAGAGTGAGGTTAGGGCAGTACCCTGCGGGAAGACTTGGCCCTCGCCCGGATGTGCAGTTGTCCGGGCTTGTCGTTCTCGTCGGACTCGTCGCTTCCGCGAGAGCTGTCGCTACTGTCGACATTGTTTTCGTCCTGCGTCAGCAGCAGCGTTCCCTGTATGTCGACAACACAAAAATTAAGAATAAAACACCCGCAGGTGCTAAGTGGTGCGCGGTCGCGTACGCGAGTGGCGCCGGTGTTGGTGACGATCAGGTCCATGAGCGAGGTCAGCAGTTCGCTCAGATTCAGCTTCGATGACAAGTGTTGCGTGGCCTGCACCACTGCGTCCAGGTCGAGTGCACTAGAACGGCCAATAACTGTGTGAGTCGGCGGTGCGTGGCCGTATGTGAACAATGTGGTGGGGACCAGGTGGTACCTGGAGATGATGGCTGTCGTGCTGGAGTACGGGTTGATGTGCGTTGAGGTGGCTGTGAGGCTGCGCACGGGCGGCGGCGAATGCATCCCAGTGGCCTTGGTCGCATTGTTCTTCCGTGTGATTGCGCGTGCGCCCCACTTCTCGAAGCAATAGGCCGACTCGGCGGCTGCCTGGTCTGCCATGGCCTTGAGCACCTGACCATGTCATACAAAATTGCGTATTTAGTATTATTTATCAAATAGTACTCTAGTATAAATGAATGTACGTGCCTGCCAGGAAAGCTCCTTGGCGGTGGCGGCGTCCTGCACGAATCCGTTCTCGATGGCCATGGTAAAGGCCTTCTCGTACATGTCGACGATCTCGGCCAGCCGCGTGTTGTCACGCCCGCTGCTGCGCTCGCGCTCGGCCAGCCATGCTCGCTCCGCCTGTCGTTGGAAGGCATTATCAGCATTCATGACACTCTCGACACACGATTAGTGACACACGCGGCTTCGAACGAACCTCGACCAAGAGGTACTGGTGGGCGAAGTTGCAGGGCGCGGCGTCGGCCCACTGCTTGAGCTTGGCTTGCATCTGTGCCGCGGTGGCCTTGTACGACTCGTACTCCTCCTTGGTCAGCGCTACCGCCTGCCCACCGCTCTGGTCGCGCGCCGAGTGGGGCAGGGCACCGGTGAGCCGCCCGCCGCTCCCGCCATTGCTGACACCGTAGGGTCCGCGCTCCAGGGATCGCATCTTCTCCTTACGCTTCTTTCGCTGCTTCTCGATCGCGCGAAGCCGGGACTCGGAGGGCTTCACCTCCATGTTCTTCTCCGACTCGCGCCACACCGATCCGAGCTCGCGCACGCGCTCCTTGGGCGTGACGAAGTTCTGCGCCCCTTTGCACAAGGCCAGCAGCACCAGAGAATATACAAAATGGAATTCTATAGCGCACGACACACAACACACACGACACACAACGGCGGTGGGTGAGTGTTGGCCGAGAGAGGTGCGATCATCAGGCGAGACAGCGCACGAACCGACTTCTTCCTTGAACTGGGCGATGAAGGAGAGCCGCTCCAGCGTCTTCTGGGCGGCTTGGAGTGCCTCATGGTACCGACCCATTATGTACAGGTAGTGCATTCTCACGGTGTGGTGTTGCGCTGAGGTCATCATCACAAACCGACGACCGCACAACCGGGTTAGACGGCGCCAATGACAGTGACAGTCTCTCGGTGGCGTACGCACCAATGGGCATTGGCCTCGCATCGGTCTCGATGTAGACCTCGAACTCTTCGTCAGACTCATCGACCGCTGTGCCCATCAGCAGCTTGGCAAAGCGCTCAAAGGTGATCAGCATCTTGCACACATCAGTCCAGCCCGTCTCCTCCGAGTACCGCCGATAGGGGTCTAGAGAGAAAAAAGAAAAGAAAAGAAAAGAAATGAGAATGTGCCGCACGTACCAGGCACGACACGACACCCGCGGGAAGAGAGAGAACGCACCGCTGCAAGAGACGATCTGAGGCAGAGGCACGCTGTACCACAGGCTGCCGACGAGGTTGTAAGCGCACCCGGTGCCAAAGGCTGGATTACCGCCAGCCACTGCGTGCTTGAATCCGAGCTCCAATCCTTGGATGGACTCGCTCAACGGGTATTTCAACCAGTTGAGATACGCTGCCACAATGTAATCATATTATAATCAGCATTCGCGTACGCGCAGAACACGCAGGCGATAATGTGCGTACAGTAGAAGATCTCCCACACCTCTCCGCGATCAGCGAAGCGTGAATGCGCGTAGTGCTTTTCGCACAGATCGATGGCCAACTTGCCCCACTGGTAGGCCTCTCGGAACTGCAGCCAGCACGACCAAAAGTGACAACGATCAGTGCGCCCCTCAAAAAGAAGAAGTCTTCTTTGCAACGGCGAGGGAGAGCAGTACCCGCTTGGCAATCCCGCAAGCTACCCAGCCGTACCAGGCATAGAGAAGCGACGAGTGCGCCACGTGGCCGTACTGGATGCTTGTCTTGACCTGTTGGGAATTGCAAACAACACACGCAAACACATGCACACGTAAGCACATAAGCAAAGGTTAGTGATTGATTGTTGTTCCCCCCCATTGCAACACAAAGGGAGTCGTACGCCGGTGGCCAGTGCGAGAGTGTAGGCATTGGGCTTGACGAAGTAGTAACCAACAGCCATCTTACTGATGAGCTTTTGAATAACCTGGCAACACAACACAGAGCATTTGAAAACTACTACATTAGCACAATTCGGTATGATGGGGATGGTGCGCACCATAGCCCTTTCGTCGGTGGCCGGCGGGTCGTCGAGCAGGTCGGAGATTTGGCGGTTGGCCAGCAGCTGGTCGACCTCCTTGAGTGCCCGCTGCACCATTTCGTTGTCCGGGTCGGCCGGCAGGTCCAGGCCGAGCGCGGCCAGCCCCTGCAGCCCGTACGAGATCATGTCCTGTCGATAGGTGGCCAGCACGATGATGAGCCACACCTGTCAAGAGAGTTGAAGAAGAGCTGTGCGTACATCATAGCGCTGCATGCAGGTGGACATCTGGTTGCGCTGAATGTAGACTTCGTTCTTTTCCCACGCGTCCTTGGCATGTTCTACCACCGCGCTGAAGAGTTGCTCCGCGGCTTCGACGTTCTTGCACAGGTACTCGCACTGCGCCCGCTCTTTTTTGTTTGTTTGTGTGTGTGTGTGTGTGGCAGTCAGTCAGTCAGTGGTCGGGTATTGGCGACCAAGATAGATGAGAGAGGGTGGTATATACCCAGGTAGAGCTGAAAGGCGAGGTTGTGCTGCGACTCCCACCTATCGGCCGGGAGCATCTCGATTCCCTGAGCCGCCACCTTACGCGCCATCTCATACGCTGCCAATACCAAAAAATACACATTAATTATTATGACGACAGGAAAACGAAATAATAATAAGAATAAGAATATTGTGTGGCCGCACCCATTGAGTTCTTGCCCTTGATGGTGGCGTTGAGGTTGAGCCGCGCGATGACGAGCCGCTGTTCGGGGTCCTGGATGAGATCGGCAGCTTCGCTGAAGTGATACACAACGTCGAAGATGTCGAATCGTTGTTGCTCGTTCGAGCTCTCTTGCTTCCGGTTCCACGTCGCTTGCTGAACACGCGTTGTGTGTGAATTTATGAATCGACAGGCAAAAGTGGACCGCAGGTGGGGGCGAGAGAGCGTACAGTGAAGTCCTCTTTGGTGTTGACTTTGGTCATGAGGAATTGGGCCACGTCCAGGTGCATCGTCTTGTTCCGGTCGGGCGGCACACACTCGTAGGCCGCCTGCTGCATGCGATCGTGCAGGAACCGATAGTCAAAGTCCCCGGAACGCATCACGAATCCTGTGTGGGCGGGCACCGACGCCAACCAACCTTAGCCAGGGTCCGCAACACACAGTCCCAGCTCAAGCCAAGAAGACGGTGGGAACGGTTGAAAGAGGCACCTTGATGAAGGGTCTGCCAGAGTAGGTTTTCTACGGCTTCGACCGGCATCGACACATACTCGGCAATGTCCCGCACATCGAACTTGCCCCCGAAGAAGGCGGCCACCTCCAGCAGACCGAGAGTCTGCGCGCCCACGTCCACTCAGCGAAAGCACGTCACATCGTAGCGTGGGGCGAACAAGCAAGCACCTCGTTGGGGAGTTTGCGCAGATCCTGTGCCATGAACTCGACGACATTGTCTGTGTATTGCATGCCCTCGATCTTCTCCAGGTCCCACTGCCAACAGCCCCTGGTGTAGTCGAACCACTGCACGCGCCATTTATGTATTACTGGGCCAACCCACGCCAACACAACCCCCCCCCCGACACATGAACGATAGTAGCGAGAGAGTCGTACAATGAGCTGTTCTGATGGAGCTTGGTGAGGAAGCTGATGGTGAAGAACGGGTTGCCCTTGGTCTTCGTGAACACCAGCTCCGAGAGCTTGAGCGTGCTCTCCGGCGCCTCGGCAAAGTGCAGCACATCGGCCACCATCCTATTTACATCGTCAATCCCCAGAGGCTGGGTGTAACGTTTGTTTGGTTGCATGCGTGAGATTCCATCGTGATCGCCCATCGTAGTAGTCACCAGGTGGTGTGACTGACTGTGTACAGTGCGTACCTCGAGAAGAATGCTGTTGCACTGGACGCCCTTGTTGCGGAACTCGTCGAGGAGCATCCACAGCGGGTGCGTGGGGCTGACCTCGTTGTCGCGATAGCCACCCACCAGCAGCAGCGGACCGCTCCCCGTCGACGGCGTGCGACACACAATCTTCTGAATCAGCAGGAACGACGGCTGATCGGCCCAGTGCAAGTCGTCCAGGAACATGATCAACGGCTGCCCTGGCTTGATGCTGTGTGCACGTTAGTTGTGTGTGTGTGTGTGTGTGTGTGTGTGTGGTTGCGCTCAACAAAAAGAGAAAGGAGCAAATACCTCGAGAAGACGTCGATTAGGCGCGTGAAGAGTTGGTTGTAGAGATTTTGCATTTCCGACATCCCCAGGTCGAGCTCCACCGCCGGCTGCTCGCCGATCAGCAATTCCAGGCTCGGAATCACGTTCACCAGCAGCTGGCCGTTCGTGCCGACCGCCTCGCGCAGCCTCTCCCTCGTCCGGCTCACTTGTTCCTCCTCCTCGGCCAGAATCTGTCCCCGCAAAATTGAAGTACCATAAATAAAATAAAACATAATCGCAATAAAGATGAAGTTAAAGATTGATTATAACATAGTATTTAAATAAGAATAATAAATACAAGTATTATAATAATTCAATAATACAAATGAACAATTACCTGGTGAATGACGTCGGAGAAGGCGGCCACGATGGCCGAATAGGGCACGTCGCGCTTGTTGAAGTCGTACTTGCCCGAGATGAAGTAGGCCTGCTGCTTGACCTCCCGCAGTTGGCCCACCAGCGACGTTTTGCCCACACCAGAATAGCCCGCCACCATCAACACCTGCAATATGCATGCGACGATGAGCTCGAGCGCATGTGTTGTGTCGTGTGTCGTGTGTGCGTGTGCGTGTGTGCGTGTGCGTGTGTGCGTGTGTGCGTGTGTCGTCGTGTTCACCTGGTTTTTGGGATGAGCGTGCGAGTGCGACAGGGATCGATAGATGTCCTGCAGCCGGCTGGTCTCCTCCTCGCGACCGTAAAGCTTGGCCGGAAAGGCGAACACGTCCGACACGTCGTCCTGCCCGGGCACGAACGCCAGCTCGGCCGCCTCGGCTTTGGCCACCAGCCGCTCCTTCTCGGCGTCGTCGACTTCGTCGTCGGCCTGCGCGCGGGCCTCGATGATGGCCTGGCATCGCTGCAGATCGGCCACCAGGCCGCGGCTGCTCTGATACCGCTCCTCCACCGACTTGGCCAGCAGCCGGTTGACCACCGCCGACAGACAGCGCGGCACGTTCGGGTTGAGCTCATGGGCCAGCGGCGGCTGCTTGGCCATGTGGGCGTGCATCATCCGCACGGCCGAGCGCTCGCGAAACGGCGGCGTGCCGCAGAGGAGCTCGAAGAAGGTCACGCCGAGCGAGTAGAAATCGCTCCGGTAGTCGACCGGCCGGGTCGTAACCTGTCCGCCGCCGCCGGCAGAGGGCGCTGACGTGGCCGTGTAAAGCGACGAGCTGCCCCCCGTGGCGCGGAAGGAGAGCTCGGGTGGGAGATAGGCGAGTGAGCCCAGCACGTGGTGCACAGCGGACTGCTTGCCCTGCGTTTGGGCCGACGTGGTGTCCTTGCTGCGAATGACAACCGACGCTATGCCGAAGTCGGAGACCTTAACCACGCCCGTATCTCTGTTCCATATGAGGTTGTGTGGCTGTGAACGCGTGAGTCTCTTTCGCTCTTTCTGTCGCTTTTCGTTCTTTCTAGTGAACGCTTCATTTTCCGGTTGGTTTGGTGCGGGCTGCGGATAAAAAACAAACAAATAACAAATAATAATAATAAAAAAAAAGCCGGCTACGCACCTTGAGGTCCTTGTGGACCACGGAGCGGCTGTGGATGTTGCCCAGCGTGCGGGTGATGGAGAGGGCCAGCGCGAGAAAGGTGCGGATGCCCTCAAGGCCGTGTGAGGCGAAGGCGCCGTCACGGGCGAGCCACTTGTCGAGCGATTCGCCGCCAAAGTCCTCGACGACGAGGGCCTCGACGCCGGGCCGCGACAGGCGGGCCACGACCCGCACCACGCCCTCCACGTCGCGGAGCGAGGCGACCACTTGGTGCTCGTGGTGGAAGTTGGTGAGGTGGCGTGGCAGGGGCAGGGATACGTTGAGCACCTTGACCCGCACCACCTGTCCCTCCTCGAGGCTCTTGTTTTGTCGGTGTTCGATCCCCTCGCTGGCCTCTCCATTTTCGTCATCTTCATCTCCATCATCATCTTCCGATGATTTGTCCGCTCCTTCATCTTCGTGCCGCCGTCGCGGTGGTGGAGGTGAAGATGGCGGTGGCTATGCTGTGGTGGCACCACAACGACCTCATCTTCCGGGCGTCGCCTGGTGTTCACCACGCGGCAGCGAAATACGACTGAGTGCGCACCGCGGTCGATGTCGGGCGATACCAGTTCGAAGCCCTCATCCTGCAGGAGCTTCTCTGTCGCCTCCTCTTCCATCCTCTTCCTCTTCTTCTTGGTACTTTGTTGCGTTCGTGCTGCCGCTTTGTTTGTCGGGTTTTGGTTGGGGTTGCCGGCGGAGAAGTTGAAGGGAGCGATCTGGTGATTTGGGAGAGCTCCGAGGGGTGTTGTTCCATGACACAAGGCTTTCCCAAAACCGAAATTGAGTAAATCAGCAGCTGCAGGCTGTGGCCTATGACCCTCCACTAAACAGCCTTTGGCATAGAACCATGTTGAACTTTGTTACTTCTCCAAAACTGAAAGCAAGAGTGACCAAGGGAAGGATTACAAAAGTCACACGCCCAGCACTCTGTTCCACCAGAAAGGGTCCTCTGGTCCTTCCAATCTTGTCTTGTTTCCCAGCTATCACTGCAGTTGAAGGTATGTGAGATACCAGTAAAAAGGTGGAGGATGTTGAGTACCTGAAGCATCAAGAGGAGACATCTCAGAGTAATTGTAGTCAGCTCCATAGGAATAGAGGAGTTCCACCCCTGGTGGTATAAAGAAGTTAGGAAAGGATGGTGTTGTGTTTGGTAAAGAGTGTGTGGGTGCCTGTAGGGATATCCTTGGTGGCATAGAAGTAGACATGCTGCTGGCCAGCCATGGTCTTGTTGGTGGCCCCCACATTTGCTATTGCATCCTCAGTGTGATTGGCAAACCTGCCCAGGGACCAAGATTAGAGCAGAAACCAACAAGACTGAGGGTGGGGCAACCTGAGCTTGTTTCCAATGGTAGCAGCATCAAGTTGAGGCCCATTGGAGGTGAGCCTAAAGATATAGGAGGGCTGCCTAGATGCCAGCACAACTTCTTCTCTTGCAGCAGTCTCCTGTGGAGAGACATACTGAGGCACAGTTAAGTTCATTGTGGTAAGCCACACAGAAAGCAGGAGCAGTGTACCTCACCAGCATAGGCACCAATGAACTCACCCTTATGGATAGGCTCACCAGCAAACAATCCCCAGCCTTGGATTGCACTGTTGTAACCAACAAGTAACCTCTGAAAGGCCATTAGTACAAATTAGAACATCATGACACAGATACAAATAAATGGAATGATTACTCACCTTTTTTGAGTGGCTGTAGCAGAGGTTGGTGTTGTTACAGCTGTGGCTCTTTTGTCCAGGTTTGAAGGCAGCACACAGGTCTGGCATGCACTCCCTCCTAGCCTTGAAACATGGACACTAGCTGAAGAAGTGAGGAATGTGCTGTGATGCTGGGAATAGAGTGACATACATGGTTTGTGCCACATGCATTGTTGCCTGCATGGCAATGGCAGCCCCTCCAGTGAATGTGGCATGACTTGGGGCACAAGCACTGAATCTCACAGCCTGTTCCTGCAAGAACAAAAAGAGTTAGAACAAAGAGGCAATATGGTGAGGGGCCATACCATTGAGCAGGCATTGACAATTAGTGTCACACTGGCCCTGGCAGGTGCAATACATGTAGGCATCTTTCTTCTCCTGCTCTCTGCCACTCATGATCTCCTGCAAGAGGAAGATAGATTGAGATGCTGTGAAGTGAGAACAAACAACCTCTAACCTTTTGTTTGATTTTGGCTGGACTGCTGGGTTGTGAATTTTCTGCACACCTTTTGTGAGAAGTTAAATGGCAGATTGGCAAGGTGGGGATGTGCTGCACCATTGGTGTGCATCATCTGATCTTGTTCCTGTACAAGGGCAGTCATGACATCCTCCTTGCTCTGGTAGTAGAAGCCACCCACCTGGCTGCAGGTTACCTGAACACAACCAGTCATCTTCAATCTCTCAAAACTGACCCAGATATGGGGGGAGTACCTGCACACCAAGGTCACAAGCAATCTGACAGAAGTTGGGACCATGGAGGGGGAAGACCAAGCTGAAGCACAGGACTTCTTCAGAACTGAGCTCAATTTGCTCCTGACTGGCCTGCACTGCTTTAAGAGCCAGAAAGGAACAGTCCTTGCTGCAGTGCTCTCTGTGCTGTGCCAGAACCTCCTCCTCTGTTGATGCAGGGAGGTAGGGCAGCTTTGCTTCAGTTGTTTCACCCTGATAGAGACCCAGTCAGTCATGGGAGTTGTGAAGCCTTAAGGGAGTGGTACCAGTGCATGTTGGCCACAGTCAAATTCATAGCAAATGTGACAGAACCAGTGGGTCAGGTTGACAGTTTGACCAAAAACCCTGTGCAGCACCCATCAGCAAACAAACAAACAATCATCAGAATTGGGAGTGGTACTGCCTAGGCTCTGGGTATACTTGGGCCAGTCTGCACTTGACAGATGAGAACACAACTTCATCAGACCCAAAGCAAAGGGTGGAGGGTGTACTGTTCATGCACCACATCTTCAGGGTAGCCCAATGCCTCATGGAAGGCTTGGGTAATGAGTGACCTTGCATCACTGGCTGTGCCATACACTTGAGAGATAGTGTGTAGCAGTCCATCATGCTCTTGCTGTAGAATGAGAATTTAAGAGAGAGGACCCAGGTTGTCTGCAGAAAAAACAAAGTTACCTTCCACTGGTGGTGAATATCATCAATCCACATGCCCTGTGGATAGAAATCGGTCCATGGTGACTCAGGGTGCACTTCTCTCAGCACTCCATCATCTCCCTCACACCATGGGATGTAGGGGAGGATTTGGATGTCAAGTCTCTGCCAGAACATTTACAGCACATCAGCACACTTGGCCAAAACAATATGCTAAGCAGAGGCTGGTACTCCTATTTGGCCCACAATTGGATCATAATGTTGTCCTCTGGGCAGATACTCCACAGGATCAGGGGCTGGGGCTTCTCTGGCCTGTGGCAGAGGAAGTGGCTGTGGGTGTGGTGAGTTAGAGCACAGAGAGGGTGAGAAGCTCTGTCCCTACCTCATGGGCCAGTCCTTGCCTCTGTCTCTGCACAGCCAGTTCCTCTTGCCTCTGCACAGCCAGTTTCTGTCCCCAGGGAATGATGAGTGTTTGTGAATGGTTATACTCTAGAAAGGGGCTGTACCTGCTCCTGATCCTCATGGAATGCTGCAACAGCTTTGGGCAGCAATTCATGGATGAAGTCAACAAGAATACTCTTCTTTCTTCTTCTCTCCTGCTCTTGTGCTGTGATGCTTGGGACTGTCTCTTCCTCCTCTTCCTCCTCCCCCTCATAGTCCTCACTTTGCCCCTCATCTTCATTTCCTTCCCAATCACTGGAGATTGAGGCCAAGCTGAGCATCAGGGGCAACTCCTCTTCTTCCATTGTTGGATTCAATGCTTATGCTCATCTTGTTGGGCAGGACCCTCTGGGTCGCTGTGGCCTTGTGGTTGTCGAAATTTCATTCAATTCCTTGGTGTGTTTGTATTGGCCAAAAGGTGGGGGGCACTCTTTTCACAACCTCGTGCTTTTTGGCGGGTTTTTTGGACTTGTTTCTCGTGTGGCGCGGTTCAAGACCCGCTCAACACAAAGAAGAAAAGGTTCGAGATGTGGTGAAACACCAATTTATGTTTTTGATATTACAGGCTGAGGTGTGCGACACATCGAGGCGCCAAGATGATTGAACGGGGCGAGACGGTCCGCCTCGAGAAGATGTCAAACTACCTGAGATCGGGAGGGAACCACTTTAGTAGCCCTGGGCGATGAGGTAGTCGGCGAGCTTCTCCACCACGTTGGCGCACTGGCCGGGCTGGACCTTCTCGTCGTAGAGGGCGATGAGCACAGCCTTGCTGGTCTTGACGCAGCACACACCGGTGGCGTTCTTCTTGGCGTACACCGAGCGGTCATCAGCCTTGATGCAGAGGTACTTGACGCCAGCGAGGTTCAGGCCGTTGGCGCGGACAGCGTCGGGGGACTGTGATCAAAGAAGAAGAAACAACGAGAGATTAGCTCACTGAGCGAACAGAAGAAACGACTGAACTCGAAGTGA